CAGTTAAATGTAAGACATTTCAACAGATTATTCCCACGGCTCATGATGAAACCCAGAGAATATAAAAGCCCCTTCTTAGAAGCTTACCTATTTCCCACTTTCTTCCACACTCAGACCCTTAACTCCCCAAACTTATTAGCAACCGTACTAAGCAGCAGGGATATATCCAAAAAGAAAAATGTTAAGCAATTTCTTGAATACCGACGTGAACTCAAACAGAATTTCTGGTTTTGTTTCTTCTAATAATGCACTGGACATCTTTTTTTTTTTTTAATCACTGGTTCTACAGAACCATTCATGTTTTGTGGATTTCTAATGTTATTTTATCTATAAAATTTTTACACCACAGTAATTAGTGGTTAGGAATTTTCTCGGCTACTCTGTTTATGAGCAAGAAAGCTATGGAAAACGACAAACTAGATCCTCTCTGTGGATTATTTTCCCACTCCAAGCCTCCAAATTTGGTTTACTTTAGGGTAAAAAGTAGCTTTTCTAAATAGGATTTTTCCTGATCAGAAATTATCAGCTCTCCTAGATTGATGTTTCTGTCCTTTTTAGAGACCTTTTCAGGTGGGCATGTAACAAATAGTAAGATGTTTTCATGGTAGTGATATTTCTATACATTTCTACCACTTAACACCATTAATGAAATGGCCTAGCACTTTTTTTAATTATTATATTCTGATATCCCTGCCAGAACTTCCCACATCTTACGACATGACCTAACGTATCTTACACTGTAACGCAGATTCATAGCTGTGAAATGTTGACAGTTCGTCAGAAAAAGTAAATCTGACTCAATCTACTTTTAACACTATTTCAAGGGAACATGAACAAGAAGATAGAAACTGTGGGAAGCAGAGTAATGACTCCCCCCAGAACATCCATGCCCTAATCCCTGGAACCTGTGAGTATGTTACCTTACGTGGCAAAAGGGACTTTGCAGACAGGTTAGATTAAGGATCTTGAGATGGGAAGACTATTCTGGAATATCTAGGTGGGTCCAGTATTATCAAAGGGTCTCTAAAGAGGCAGAAAGCAGGGTGAAGTCAGGGAAAGTGACGTGACGAAGGAAACAGGGGTCAGGGTGGTGCGCAGCCATGAGCCAAGGAGTGCAGGTGGCCTTGAGATGCTGGACAAGGCAAGAATGAATTTTCTTCCAGACCCCAGGAGGAACACCACCCTGCCCACATTCATTGGAGGTTTTTCACCGCCAGAACTGTAAGGTGATAAATCTGTGTGCTTTTGAGCCATTAATTGCATGGTAATTCGTTCCAGCAGCAACAGGAGCGACCACAGGGACTCCATCAGTCTGGCCCCTGCTCCATCCCCTGTACTTCAAAGGGTAACCACGTGCACAAGGTGTTCAATAAATATACGAGAAAGAAATTACAGAGCAAACTGTTTCCAGACTGGCCAGTGACGTGCATCATTTACAGAATGTATGTTTTCCCTCAAAGCCTTTGGAATCGTGTCCTTAGGACTGAGGAGGACACTTCTGAAAGGCCTGTACCTGGGCTGGCAGCTCATGCTAAGTGGCTGATAGGAGGACTAACTTACGGGCCGACTGAACACCCGTGGTATCGAGCTGCTTAGCTTGGGAAAGTGAAGCTCCCACGGAGCCCCAGGAGAAGTGCTGGGCGCAGGGGACATCACTCCCTGCTCAGGCTCCCACCAGCTGGAGCAAGAGGAACTAAAACACCAGCCATAGGCAGGACTGTTGAAAAGCAGCTTCAGCTTCTGCTTCTGGGCTCACGGTCTCCAGCACCCGAAGAAAGAGCTCTTTGGAAGAAAACTGCTACACCCACCTCGTGAAGGTCAAGAAGAATGAAAGAAAGAAGAAATGAAACCCACTGACCTGATCAAGGGACTTCTACACTGCAGCTGGGGAAGGGAGCTAAACAGCCTCAGCTTAGACGACCCTGCAGGGGAGCGGGAAAATGTCTGATTTATTAACCCCTAGTGTCTGGTTTCATGTTCAGAACATAGTAGCTACTCCATAAACGTGTGTCTGAGCAGTAACATAGGAAATAAAGCTATAGTTGAGAAACTCTCGTCATTCTCAGGGATGGACAACAAAGGGTTCAATAACAAAACTTATGGCCACCAGTCTTAATACTGTGACTTAGAAATTTTACCAATACAATAATTACTGTCTCATAAAACAACGCGATTTTTAGGTTGGAAATCATTGAAATCAGCCCTTCGGATATTGATCAGAAGACTAAGACTAAGGACCAAAAAGGTATGAAGTGTGTATTACTTGCAGGGAAGAGGGCCCTTGCTCAGGCATCCTGGCTTCTCAACCACACAGGACTCGCACCAGCATCCGATTTTGTCCCAACTCATATCACGGAGACACGGCAGACTCAGATTCACAATAAACATAGAGCAGTATTAAAACAGACACGGTTTAAAAATCATAGTTCTCCCAGAGAAGGAGAAAATAGCTAACGATGCTTTCACAAATCGATTCTGAATGCTTTCCCAGTTAGCACATTTCCCAGGCTACATTCTGGAGACCTGAAGCACCTCAGCTCCGTAGTGTCACTTGTCCTTCGCTTACAATGGATTTGGGTTTCATTCAGAGGTGTTTTAGGAAGATTATTAATCTCATCCTGTCTGATGAGAACAAAAGCGATTGAAAATGGTGATAAAAAGAAACCTATGGTTTCCATTAAAATCAAAGTAGAGATATTTTTCCCCAAAACTGAACGTGGAGAGATGATATTACAGGATGAACAGCTGTACATTGGGAGTGATTCTAAAGGAAACGAATGAATCATGCAAACGTGAAAAGTTCTGTGCCTGTCTGTTCAATTAATGACCATCTGTGCAAAAGGAAAGAAGACAGCAGGTGAAATGGAAAACCTCTTTCTTGTGTGACAGAAGGATCAGTTTCAATGTCAATTGCCAATGAGCCTACTTGAGAAGAAGGCTGATCAAACATTTATTGACTGCTTCAGAGAGTGCATTCAGAGCTGCATCAAATGAGAAGAAAGGCCAAAAGTACGAATATAGTCCCCCAGATATCTGCAGAGATAAACAAAAAAGGGTGTAGCTTACCTACTTTAAGAGACTTTCCATATAGATAAAACTGACTTGTTTTGGAGCAAGAGGGATGAGAGAATGTGTATGCCCAAGAAGAGTCTGCCTTTATTCTAAAACATCCAAGGACATTCCTGTTTGATGGAAACACGTCCAGAGACTCCAAGCTTAAATAAATCCTCCGTGATGACTTGGCTAACCACATGGACTTAGAGATATCACCCCTGACTGAGAAAAGAATGGCTTCCCCCACTTTAAATAAATGAATAAGTGGTGTTCCAAGGGTCAGCAGCTAAGCAAAAAGAGTGCCTATGAACCAGAGGGCAAGGAAGGAGGTAGTGGGGCTGTTTTAATAATACATTCTTCTGGCCATTGAGGGCATCTCTGGTTTACATCACTTGTTATGTTGCTGGACATAGCAAACACCAAGTGGCTGTGGGTGGCTGACAGTTCTTTGGTTTAGGAGATATGGTCAAGACCTGGATGAGGAAGAATCTGGTATTTTCCATTATTACCAAAATCTCAGCTGTTTCCTTTGCCTTCTTCCGGGCAGTCAGTACCTATCTGGTTTTCATCAAGACACAAATGTAACAGGCACTACTATCAGACCCCTCTTACTCTCCCAACATCAAAGATACCAGTCAACAAAGGTCAGAAACAAGAATGACGGCTGGAAAAACTGTCCCAAGGAAAAGTCGCATGGTAAATTTGACAGAAGGAAGACAGTCAAGGGATAGTTGGTTCAAAACATAGGTGGTGTTAGAATGGCAAAACATCCTACTTAAGAGGGAACACTGCACTAAAGACTGTATGCAGAGACATAAAAATGGAAATACAGCAAAAAGAAACCGAACTGGGATAAAGAAATAGCAAAATGTCTGAGGTGTGTATAATAGCCCCCCTAACTAGGTCACAGATGTGGTCATGTCTGTGCTTGGAATATAAAATTAGTACAGAGGCAAGCTACAACAATCTTGATCTCTTCTGACATTTGCTTTAAATCCGTCTTTGTACTAAGTGTTCATATGTTTTTAATTGATTTTGCAGATGAGTCCGTCTTTTCAAGGTCAGAAGAAACAAGGTGTGTTACTCCACTGAACTTAGGCGGGAGGAACGAAGCCCTTTGGGAGAAAGTGACCAAACGCACAGTTAGAAATGAAATTAAAAATTAATTTTAAAATATTTCAGAGAATTCAGAGAGGAGGTAGACCATGACATCAGAACTGAAGAGCTCTTGAGATGCAGTTCAAGAATGGTTTTGTGGTTCTAAAAATGAAATTCTAAGCATATCCTCACAAATAATCCCAAAGGGAGAAAAATGGAAAAGGCATCTATGGGAAGTTTTGACTAGTTAGAGAACTGTTTTTGATAAGTTTAGACTTTAAAATTTTTTTTATATGATAAGATCAGACTTTAAAAGTTCATGTGCAGAACCAAAGTGGGACATGGGGGTAGAAAAGAGGCTCAGAATGTCTGAAGTGAAAAATAAACTGAGGTTGGCCCTCCCACCCCCAAAAAAGTACACATGAATTTATATTTATTATACAGAATTATAACATACACTTGTATAATATATTTTTAAGTATAATATAATTATATAAATTTATGTGACATATAAAATATATATTTAACTATGTTCCTAAGAGATAAGAAATTGGAAGGTTCTCATTTGAGGGCAATACTAATTATTAATAAGTCTTTCCCTTATATTAAGCAGAATTTACCTGCCACCCCATAGATTGTTATAACAGATTTAAATCTCAGAAGGGATTTTGTCTAGGATCGGAGTTCACAAAAATCAATGCCTTGTGGAGTCTGGCAGGTCACATGAGTGCAAAGACCAGACATAAAGGAACAGCATATGTTGGGAGTGTGGTGACCTGGAGAATGCACTCCTTATCAGAAGAAATTCAAATTTAGAAATCTGATAAACAGTTGTTGGCCAGAAAGGGGAGGGTATAGCTCAGCGGCAGAGCACGTGCCTAGAATGCACGGAGTCCTGGGTTCAATCCCCAGTACTTCCATTAAAAATAAGTAAGTAAAAACCTAATTACCTCCTCTCCCTCCCCCAGAAAAATAAAATTAAAAATAAAAAATAGTGTGCTGGCCAAACAAAATATCCTTAGATTTCACCCGAGTGCCTTCAGTTTTCTTTGAGATTTCTGAGATTCACAAAGGCAAAGTGACTTGCCCCAGACCTACAACCAATCAATAAAAAAAAAAAATGTACAACTGAAGATGTTAATTTCTCGAAGCAATTCACTGGCTTACCTGACAATATAACCTGATCCAAATGCTGAGGGGTCCAAATCTGTTTTCCATTCCAGTGGTTCTACAAAAACATATTTTGCCTCTTGAGGGTGTTTATAGATAAAACTCTCCACAAACATAACAATTTCTGTCAATATTGCTTCATTCAGAGGGGTGACTTCCAGGGTCCTGGTCCCATGTCCCGCAGCAGACCACTGCGTTGCCCGTGTCAGCGCCACGCCCATGGGATCCTTAACATTCAGATCCGAGCTCAGCACACACTACATCAGAGCAGAACCAGTTAGAGGGAGAACCAGCATCTACCTTCCCACCAGAGTACTTTTCATCTTCCAGGTTTTAAGCTAGTACTTGCCCAGCCCACATTCTGCTTCTTCATTGTAGAGGCCGATTTTTCAATTATCCAATTGCTCTTCAATTCAGTAAAATAGTTCACTTTCCCTGAACCAGCTCAAAGTAAAACTGACAAGGACTTAAGGATCTTCCTGTAGCTGCCTGCCCTGGAATAAACACCTTCTTTCTCATTTTCCTAGGCCTAAGAGAATTCAAAGAGCAGGGCAGAAAATGGAAACAGAAAAGTCCAAGAGTGGAAAAAAGAACTGGAAAATGTTGGCATCAAGGCCTTGGGTTCACAGCTCTGCTGGGGCCGGAGGTTCGGTGAGCAAGGCTGCTTCAAGCTGGGTCACACACTGCTTAGAATTATGCCATTAAACTGGATTCTGTTATTCTTTGTCATCATCATGCATCTGCATCAGCACAATGATGATTGATGAGAATGATTCTGGGAGCTCTGAAAGTCCCCCGAGTGCCTTCTGAATGACTAAAAAGTAGAATCAGAACATGAAGTGGAATATAATTTTAATTTTTTCTGAAAATTGGTGTAACTATATTGATCCTATTAATCAAAATACCTGAGCAATCCAAATACTGTACTCTCTGCCCATATATCCCACCTAGACTATTTCATTGCCATTTATAACTTTCTTAAGAACAAATGTGAGAACAAATGAGCATCTTTTTAGCCTGTTTATCTAAATTGGTTATCAAAAGAGTGTAGCATTATAAACTTGAAAACAGAAATTGAAATAAATTTCACTTTAGCTAAATAGAAATTATCCTTTAAAAGAAGATATTTTAAAAGATAACATTAGCTGTCACAGTTAGAAAGCAAGTTCTGATATTAACACATACTGGATATTTAAGGGTTGTTTTTTTTTTCAGATATTCTATACTTGTTTATTTTCTCATTTGTAATAACACTGATCATTAAAACCTTTCTTCCGGAATATCAGAAGAAAGGTTAAAAAGTTAAAGAATATAATTAGCTTTCCCCCCATCATTATCACAAAAGCTCAATATCAAGTTTCTACAGAAAAGATTTGGAGATTGTGTTTTCCGTGCAATATTAAATCTTGAAATCCAGTAACAGAGACATCTAGATCAGAGCTCTTTGATTGGGCAGTACTGGCTGCTAAGAAGCAGTGTGCAAATATTTCATTATCAAAATGATAGGCAGGGGACACTGTCATCATTTAGTAACGAGGACCAGGAATGCCAGATGTCCTGCAATGTGCCGGGCAGCCCCCAGAAGGGAGAATTACGCTGCATTCTCCAGCATCTAGTAGGTAAATAGCTTTAAATAATTAATACCCAAGCCTACAACCTATCTCCACTTGACAAATAATCACAAAAGACTTTTTTTCACAGTTTTAATATGCACTTAATTTTCTAGGACTGCGACTGTCATATAAATCAAAAGAAGGTTGTACATATTTCATTTTATCTGCAGCTTTACCAGGAGGTCAGCATTTTGTAAAATCATGACATTGACTGAAATGCTAGTCATACAATTTAAGTTTGGAGCTACTGCACACACAGTAATTCTACACAAGGCTGGAACAACTGATTACTTCATTATGTATTCTAATATGGTGGTACCTGAGCACTTAGCATGCTGATACTTTACTATTTTCTTCCTTTATCTCACAGAGCACCGTCGATATTTAAAACTATGCACATGGGTAGGATTATTTTCTATGATTTTGATTTCAGAATAGTAAAGTGGGCATTACACAATATTTGTTATAAAACAGGAATTGGATCAGGTAAGTTTGAGAATAGTATATATATATACAAATATATGTACATATATGTCTATAAAAGCACTAGTGAAATAAAATGTATACCGAAAAATGTGCAAATTTGTTATGTGCATTTGTTTTAGTATTCCAGTGTTTTATTTCTGTTACTAGATTTTGAACACATAAGCATGTACTAATGTTTATGAATGATAATCTTGAGTTTCCCAAACTGATGAGAATAAGTCCAAACAGGTTTATCTTATATAGAAAGGCTCAGGTGGACGGTTCTATTTATTTATTTTACTTTGTAATTTTTTGGGGGGTGGAGGTAGTTAGGCTTATTTATTTATTCATTTATTTTTAATGGAGTCACTGGGGATTGAATCCAGTACCTCACGCATGCTAAGCACACATTCTGCCACTGAGCTGTACCCTCCCCTGGTCGTGTTTGTTTTTAATCCTAAGTGCAAACTTGTTTTGGTTTATAAAGCTGTATTGTGTGCATTGTTTCCTTCATGCACCTCTTTAAAGAAAACTGTTAAATTACATAAGACTGTGGCAGTCAACACACCATATAGTAACTTCCTGAAAAAAAAAGGAGCTATGAAACGCAGAAAGTTCTTCTCATCATGATAAATTTTTTAACGACTATGTGTAACGTATCTGACTCTAGTAAAATTGCTTTTCTGAGTCTAATAAACCAGGAGCTGCAGCAGTGGACAGACTTGATTTAAGAAGACTGGTTAGCAGAAGGTCCATGAGGATCCAGAAGGCAAGTACAATATTATTAGGGAAGAAAAACGTGGAACAAAATCTCAAAGAAGCAAAGAAGATATGTATATAAAGGCAAAAAAAAAAAAGGCGTTACAGGCCTAACTGAGCTTTCCAAAGAAAAAATAATCTTGGGTTTTTTTATCTAAGTATGAGAAATTTCTAATGGCTTCTTAATTTACCAAGAAACCCAAAGCTAGAGCATTTATTCCACTAATTCCAGTGGTGTTCCAAAGGAGTACAACTCTGGTGAAAATACAAAAACTTAACACTTTTTATCAAGACAGGCTGCTCTGAAGTTTCCACCCACTGTCAACCCACGAGTCCTTAGGACCTGAGAACCATGGTTACATTGAACACATTAATACAGAGCACATATCTTTGAATTAAATTTTTGAAATTTAACAATTACAAGGAAAAAAGTTTTGTGCATGTATTTGCTTTCATAAATTGAGAATCATTTTACACTCATTTCCTCTACTCATCCAATAGATGTAATAGAATTTATTTTTCTTTCTTAAGGATCCGTTGCCAGCCTCCAGTATCATTAATAAAATGATTATTCATTCGTGAATAACTGCTGTAACACCTGAGCAGAAGCAAAACCAAACTCTTTATGAGGCTCCAGAAACACAAGCATCCACTGTGGGACCTACACATGTGGCTGGTAACGTGAACTGGGAGAACGTGCATACCCTGGCATCCGGAGGATGAAGAAGCTAGTCAGTGAGACCCTACAGAAAAATTAAAGTTTCAGAACTGACACGAACCGAGCCTTGAATCAAAGCAAACTCAAACCGTGTGCGGAGACACGCGATGATGGCACCAACAGAGCCCTGTTACACGACAGTCAAGCATTAGAGCTGGAGGATACATTTCCAGGGATGACGGAGAAGGGGCAGGCGGCGAAGACGGTATAGAGAGATGGAGGCAAAGCTACAAGGAGCGGAGGAGAAGGAAGAGGGAACGAGAGGCAGTGAGGAGGACCGGAAAGTAAACAGAGAGGAGAGTGTGGCTGT